CAAGAACCCTAAAAAATCTTTTGAATGAAGGAATAGTATCTACAGCTGTAAAAGTATTCAAAATATTAAGTAGTCAAATCAAATATGACAGCTGTAATAGTTGTCATAATAAAATAATATAGTTTTCGGACTTAGTCTTGAACTTGGTTTTAGAGTTGTTCTCAAACTCGATCTTAGACTCGGTCTCATCCGATGAACTCCTTATCATTTCGGTTATGCTTTCAGGGATCCTTTAGCCTTTGACACCTCGAGGGAGTTGGTTCCTTACAGAGGCACTTTTGCTCATTCATAACTTGGTCTGGAAATAAACTCTCACGGACGAACTCATATAGATAGGTCCTGGGCAATTTAAGGATGGAGTCAATTCAGTCCTGCAAGCAGCCAAAGTGCCCGAGGTGGCTGGCCCAAGCTCGACCTCGGGCAGTTTAGCCACTCGAGGGACTGAGGTTATGTGAATAACCTTGGCCCCTCAGCCAACAAAACTGCCGAAGGTGGCCAGCCCGCACTCGACCTTAGGCACTTTAGGGGCCGGAGGAGCCGAGGTTACTTGAATAACCTCGGCCCCTTGGCGAGCAAAATTGCCCGAGGTGGCCGGCCCGAGCTCGACCTCGGGCAGTTTGGCCATCCCAGGGGCGAGGTTATTTGAATAACCTCGGCCCCTCGGCGAGCAAAACTGCCCGAGGTGGCCGGCCCGAGCTCCACCTTGGGCAGTTTGGCCACCCGAGGGGCCAAGGTTATTTGAATAACCTTGGCCCCTCGGCGAGCAAAACTGCCCGAGGTGGCTGGCCCGAACTCCACCTCGGGGAGTTTAGCCACTCGAGGGCCCGAGGTTATTCGAGGGGCCGAGGTTATTTGAATAACCTCGGCCCCTCGGCGAGCAAAACTGCCCAAGGTGGCCGGCCCAAGCTCCACCTCGGGCAGTTTGGCCACCCGAGGGGCTGAGGTTATTTGAATAACCTCGGCCTCTCAGTGAGCAAAACTGCCCGAGGTGGCCGGCCCAAGCTCGACCTCGGGCAGTTTTGCTCACCGAGGGGCCAAGGTTATTTGAATAACCTCGGCCCCTCGGCAAGCAAAACTGCCCGAGGTGGTCGGCCCGAGCTTGACCTCGGCCAGCAAAGAAGCAATCAAGAAAAAAAAAGGGAAGCAATGGAATGGAAGCAATGGAATCAAAAAATGGAAGTGGAAGCAATCAAATCGAAACTCACCCTTGGTGGCATCTTTCCTCCCCCAATTTCTAGATTTCTTGTGTGCTCAATCTCTCCTGCCCGCGCACTCAATCTCTCCTGCTCACTCGCTAAATCTCTCTGGCTCGCATGCTCAAACTCTCCCACTCGCGCGCTCAATCTCTCCCACTCATGCACTCAATCTCTCGATCTCATACGCGCTCAATCGCTCGATCTCCTTCGCGCTCAATCACTTGATCTCCTTCGCGCTCAATCTCTTGATCTCTCGTGTGCTCCACTCACGGTGCGAACAGTAACCTAATCTTGGCGGCTACCCTAACCCTAATCCTGATGGCTGCCCTAACCCTAACCAATCTCTAATCCTGGCCGTTCATTCCGAATAACCTAAATCTCAACCATCATAATATCTTTGATCTTATTTTATCTTATCATTATTATTATATGTAAATTATGCTTCTTTATTTTGTATATTTTAATGATGGTATAACTAGCACCTATCAACATTTCTGTTATTAGCGATATGATATTATATTTTACAAATTATCTAGAAAGGATGCATTCTCATCAATATTTTGTACATATTTTGGAATCGTTACAAGAACTTCAAAGAGTATAAATAAGGCACATTAAAATATGTTGTACTATATCCATCTATGAATGGATAAATCCTCATCCAGAAATTTATTTTGTGTTGTATTAGATCCTAAACAATAGGCACATGCTTTAAATGTCATTGAGCAGTGTTCACAATTATGGATAAAACTTGAGTTGTACTACGAATCAAATCTGTCATTGAAGAATAAGATTTGACAAGATTTATTATCATCTACCGCTTAAAATTTGACAACTTGACACATCACACATGCTGATAGTTAGATTGGATCTCTTGGTTTGACACGTTATAGCAGAATGTCATTACTGGTATCATTATTAACTATCAAACTTCATGTGCTGAAAATCTTTCCTTGGATCTATGTGTATACATGCATCAGACATCATAATAGATGACAGTAATATTAATACTGTCACACTTACACATGTTAAATTTGCTATAGAATTGTCTTCTTATTACTCTATTTAAATTTCAATTATGTTTCACTATAGATTTTTATAAGTAGCATAAAGAGAGAGAACTCCAAAACCTATTGAGAAGGATGGAAAGGTTTCTTCTTCATTTTTGAGATCACCCACCTCTTTCATTCTCTCAAAGTATTATTTCTGACAGTTTTTGATGTCGAGGTTTTGATCTTCGTCTTGGCTCTATTTCTTTAGAGGCTGTCATCCGAAACGACACCGGTATAGTTGCATACTCGGAGTTTGTTCTTTTTGGTGTGGGCGAGGGTGGACAACAATGGGATTTACAAAATTCCAAGTTGAAGGAGATTTGAGTGTTCGGATCTCTAGTCAAAATGCCAAAATGCGCTCCAGCCAAAGTGAATGTGAAGCAAGAGTAAGTCGTTATCCTTTCGTCCTCTTCTAGCTCAAGTGGAGATGTCATGCTAGTGTCGGCGCCAAATTCACCAGCTCTAGCTCCAGCTCCAACTTTAGCAATATTCAAAGCTGTTAGCAATGCTTTCCAGTTTTCATGCCTCTCAATCGACGTGCACTTGTTTTTGTATAGGCTTGTGAGTGAGCTTCCATCCTCCTACAATGGCAACATTTTCTTCGAGCTACCACCTCTTGTCAACAACACAGGTTCCAAATGGAAGGGGATGGAAACCAAGCAGGATGTCCACAATTGGTGCAAGATCAAGACCACACACTTCCAACATTTTGAAGGCACAGTGTTTATAGTTCATTGTGGCGGGCATTTAAATTATGTGGATGAAGCATGCAATCGAGACCGCTCTAGAAACTCTATATTTTTCGAAGGGTCTACAGTCAATCCTCCAGCCTGTGACACCATTGCTGTTGGATTCAAATGTCGATTCTGCAAAAATGCTCCTCTATGTCGTGCTATCTGCGAGGCTAAGATGTACTACTTTCTTCCACGGGATGGAGTGGCTGGAAGAGCTGCAGTGCATGTTAGCACACATATGCATCCAATGCAGGAAGGGATACAAAGGAGTTCTCTCAACCATTTCAAAGATGCTGTACAGGAAGAGATTATGAGAAACTCATCTACAACTCCGAAACATGTT